AAACGGCGCTCATGCCGTAGGGGGGGGGGGCGTTTAGGTGAGTGAGCTACTTACAGTACTTGGCTCCAAGCCCTAGAAAGGGAAGAGATTCTTGGGACGGATGTGAGCTATTTTTGTTTTCCCTGCTGCTATTTCTCCCATTTTCTGGGCTTAGTCCTAGTGTTACCAATCAGCGTTTTTCAAAGCCCACTTTTGATGTCCTCCTCCGTCCCAACGCCCCCCATATATCCCATGAGAGGGTCCTCCTATGCTCAACACAAGGTTTCAATTCTGCCCTGGGGAATATTTTTATGTGCAGAACTGCTGTGTTAATTCATCCGCAAAACCGCTTGAGGCATTGACAAACAAAAAGTGAATTCTTTGTTGTGACTGGATATGAGATCAGTGCTGATACGGCACAAAATGAAATAAGAAAGCAGTTCTTATTCGAAGAGTAGGTATCATTTCTTCATTATTCTCGGCCATATCTGCTCATTCGATGAATACTTTGCGGACACAGGATAGCTGCTCGTCCCATTTAATAACAGATCGTGAAAAATTAGAAAGCGACGACTTTTGTTCGACAATCGATACTTCTTTCCACAATGTAGAGCTTTCTGATGTTTTTTCTTTGTTTCGGCTGGATCCTTTCAAAGTTTTAATCGTAGGCGCTACCGCAAGATACGGGGACGTCGAGGTGGCAATGCATTTCAGACCGAGTAAAACGTTTCCTTTTTGTCAAAAACGGGACAAAGCCTCAGGAGGTGGAGAAAAGACTCCTGAATGCGTGGTCAATTCCTTTTAGTTCCCTGAAATTCCTGTTCCCTCCTGGACTTGTCTTAGAGGATGCCCCCTGTCTTGCGATAGCGGCTAATCGTAATTCAATGCAACGATAACCTACTAGGAAAGAAATTTAGAGTGAAAGACTGTGGCCTTATTTGCATCAAGCTCCATCTCCATGTTGCAGGCAGTCAGTGAAGATGATGGCATTGCGATGGAACAGGAAGACACAAGCAGAGAAGTCCTCAAGGAGACGCCAAATCTCGAAGCAAAGGTTGGAGCTTGTTGTTTATTGGTTTTCTTCCTTACTGAACACTGTTCTACCGCCAACTTTCCTTGTTCTATAAACCGCTGCGCTCGTGTCACAGGGGGGGGGACATTCAAGTGCGTGAGCCACTCACAGTTCTTGGAACTAAGCTTAGGGAGGGGAAGGAATTTTGGGAGAGTTGTTAGCATTTTTTCTCCGTGGCGTTCCTCTCCTGGGCTTGGTCCTGCTGTCACCTACTAGCGATTTTGAAATGCTCTGTTTGGAATGTCCCCCCTCTCCCCTAGGACACGAGCGCCTAAACCGCGCTAACTTGGTGTGTCACATGTGAGCGTCGGTGTGTCTGTTGTCCGTCTGCAAAATGAAGTGGTAAGGCTGTCCACGAAATAAACAAACCACCAACAAAATTGGAGAGTTCGCAGGTCTTCCGATATCAATGTTTTGCAATCGCATGATTGTGATAACACCTCCAACGGCTATGTAAACACCGAATATGCACACCTCGTTCATTCCACATGTTGTGCTGCAGTGTCCAGCTGGAGTATAGTGCAGGTGGAGGAGGGGAACTAATCGCCAGCAGTCCAAAGATCCAACGATGTGTTGAGACATCATTTTAATGTCGTCATGATTGTGGTTTCCTGCAGCTCTGAAACCTGCAAAGAGGCTTATTTAAAGCTTACTATTAACCTCGTTTCTCATCGAGTTGCTGTGAAGAATCTCAGCAATAGACTGGAGTAGTTCAGTGTTTCCTTTCTCCAGGAATGCAAAGGGTTTACTATGTGCTCTCAGAGCTTTGCATGAAAAATCTAACCTGGCACCAGCGATCTTCCAGGGTTTTGTTTGACATTGTAAGTAGTTTAGTCAGTAAGCGCATCACCAAACCAACTTTGACATGCGACACACCTAGTTTTTTCGGAAAGACAAAGCGAGTTCACTCCTGATTTTCTATAGGGAGCAGGGGACAATTGAAAGCTCGTCTCTCACAGCGCTGGATAATAATGACCAGTGCTCACCCTATTTACCTGAATCAAGGTTTGCGAGAAGATCTTTCGATTTCTTAGGTAGGCCAATGTGGCTTTTTCGCTCAGATGTGAAGAGGTCGTCTCATTATTTCAACACCAGAATCTCACCCTAAGAACGATTTTCTCATCACGGCTTGACAAGTGCTAATGTGACATTCTCAATGCTTTTTGTAGTCCATTCAAACGATTACCATGAGGAATTTCGTAAAAAAGCGAAGGTTCCCGCTCGAAAACACGTTGTCGCATTCATGATTCTGTCATCGCTTCATCACATGTTTTTTTTTGGAAAGTACGGACCTTTCATGGCATCGCTCACACGCGATAACTGTATTCTAAAGCGGAACCTTCTCGAGCCAAGAGGGCGTATCATTTCTTAGTGGGTACATTAAAACGGAGCAAATTAAAAACCCGACGGTAAGTTGGTATATAAACGCAGAGAGAGTTGAAACGTCAAGTGAAGCAAAGTTGCTCTCCCCACCTCACCCAGAATCCCTTTCCCCTCCAAGGCTTAGTCCCAAGTTCTGGCTTACTCACCTTAATGTCCCCCACAACGACGTGAGCGCTGAAGGAGGCGAGGACCGTATGCTCCGTTTTCTGCGAAATTTCAGCGTCTTGTAGGTGTCTCAAGGAAGACGTAAAAAACGATCTCATCAGTAAAAAACGTCTTCATGGAATTTTTTTCTGAAAGAGAGAAAGTTCGTCGTTAGGTTGATGTTGTTGGATGGTGGTCAGCTATGATAGGTTTGATTCGTTATTGTTTAGGTGATGACAGTGGAGGACCTTGCCAGAGAAATGAATGAAATCATAGACGAAGTTTCTGCAATTCTCCGGATTGGCCGTGGACACTGCCGTATACTACTGCACAAATTCAATTGGAACAAGGAAAGTTTGTTAGAAAGGTTTGTTTTTTGTTTATCTTTTCAATCGATTATATTCTCTTTTATGCTTATGCTAAATGAAGAGTAAGTATTGAGCGCGAGTAATAAGGATAGACCAAAACTTCCGTACTTTTATCCTTTTCTTTCCATCCTTGGTAGAGCCGAACTATGTTGTCTATCCATTTTTTTTTTAAATTTTTGTGCACCAAAGATTGTAATTACAGGTATTATGAAAATCCTGATACTGACGCTTTCTTACGCAAAGCTCAAGTACTGCCCCGCAAACCTGCACCGCCACCTCTGTCCTCCGTTGGAGAATGCGACATATGCTGCACCATCGCCCCTCTAGGAGGTTTGGATTGCCATCACTGGGCATGCTCGAACTGTTGGCAGAGGTATCTTGATACTAAGGTTAGTTCGTTGGTAAAAATTTGAATTTTTATGGGTTTTGGATTTATCAATGTACGTTTGTCTTGGCGGGACCTTCCCTGCTTCTCAAATTGTTTGTAATATTCAGATGTTTTTTGTGGCTCATCTCACCATTTATCAGTCGACGTTTGTCTTATTTCAGATTATGAATGATGCGACGAGTGAGATACAATGTATTTTTAATGGATGTCAGCTGCTAATTCAGGACGAGAAGGTTAACTACTTGTGCAATGCTAGATTATTGATTTGCATGGGTATTATTTCTAGGTGATGCAATATATCCAGAGCGAGGCTGTGCGTAATGCTTATCAACGTCTTAAAATCAATAGTTTTGTGGAAGGAAATCGTCTGTTGAAGTGGTGCCCCGGTCTCGATTGTGGAAAGGCGCTCAAGGTTGAGGTCCTAGCATTCCGTGTCCTTGACTCATTTTCAGCTTTTGCTGCATTGCTATTAGACACTAGGTCAAGCCTGCGGCGTGTTCTACAAATAGTATTGATTTTTCGAGTGGAATATGGTTTCTTGAATAAAAATGGCAGCACTCAAGTAACAGCCGTAGGTTTGACCTTGGTAGAATAGAGGAGTCACTTTTTTTTCCTGTACAGAGTATCATTTCATTGCCTTATTCAAGTTGTTCTGCGAGTACTCGTAAACGGACGTAATGCTGTCGCTTTTTAGGTAGGATACTCGGAGCCTCGCCCCGTTGTGTGTTCTTGTTCGATGCGGTTCTGTTTCGGATGTGCTCATGAATGGCACGAGCCTGTTAACTGTCGTCTCTTAAAGCTATGGCTGAAGAAATGCAGCGATGATTCTGAAACAAGCAACTGGATAAATGCAAACACGAAGGAGTGCCCGAAATGCCAGGTACTTGCTCTCGAATTTGATGAAGACGTTCTCGATTACGTAATAGTTCAGGTTACAATTGAAAAAGATGGAGGATGCAATCACATGGTCTGCAAAAATACTGCTTGTCGTATGGAGTTTTGCTGGATTTGCTTGGGTCCATGGGAGCCTCACGGTAGCAGTTGGTACAATTGCAATAGGTGATTGGCATGTTTCTTATCAAAGTTAATATCTTAATTTTTAATTAAATTACTTTACTATTCTAAAGGTATGACGATTCACGTGCCAAGCAAGCTCGTGACGCTCAAGAACTCTCTCGCGCTAACCTTCAACGTTATCTGCATTACTACAATCGGTTCATGAATCATCAGCAAAGTTTAAAATTGGAAAACAAGGTGCGTTCCATGCTTTGTATGCACTCATGAACTGAACTGTATGAAACTACAGTTTGCCGCGATGATGCTAAGATAAAGTTGGAACCGCGGTTCTGGGTCAGCTATAATCCTTCTCAGGAGCTAATGCTAACTTTCCACCCTGGAAGGGTGGGCATCTGTCAGAGCTCGCAATGTTTTGCAGTTCATGGTATCACAACACATGTTTGCCACTATTTTCGTTCATTCTATCTAATTCTTCTTTTCTAGTCAATCTCGCTTCATCGTTTTCTGCATGTTCAGTTTTGCAATTTTGAATTAATAAAAAGATGTCAAATACGTAGGGGGCTGCATCCTGATACGTATCTGATCGTAGTCACGAAATTTGCGATCTACAACGACTTGCGGGCCACGAATCACCGATCCTTCAGTGGATGCGTACGATCTCTTTCGAGCCTACCAGTCTCCATTAGTGCACGCGGCGTGATCTTTTTGCTTTGTAATAACGTTTTGGACGATTAGCATTAGGGTAGGAAGTGTCGTGCTCAACAATGGATAGGGTGCCCTTCATAAGATCCTGGTTATCCTTGCAAGCTTGTATGCCTGTCTTGACATTGATTTATAGTGGCAGTGGTTGCGCAGTGCTAAAGTGGACTTCAGAAATTCGGCCAAAGCTATCATACCTCCCATACGCCAGAGTCAGTTAGTTGGTCCTATGGTCCCAAACTTGTTCGGTTCTTTTTAACACGCCTTCATAGGTTACTATTTTCTTGCAAGGGTTGGCAGTTGTATTTTTCTTTGTAATCTCGGTTGCAAATGGCATGCAGGAGCTTTATTAGGGAGGGGGTATTTGGTTATCCGTTCTTTGTGGCTCTTTACCTTTGTATTTATTTTTTCATTTAGCTGTACGCTACTGTGAAAGGAAAAATGGAGCAGATGCAGCTACAGTCCATGTCATGGATTGAAGTTTGTCGTTATTTTTGTTCTCTCTCCTTCACTGCATCCCTGCTCGCTTGTTCTTTTCAGGTCCAGTTTTTGAGAAAAGCCGTAGACGTACTTTCTGAATGCCGCCGAACGTTGATGTACACATATGCATTTGCCTACTATCTTAAGAGAGATAACCACGCTGAAATATTTGAAGGAAACCAGAGGGTAGCTTGGTGAACTTCTATTTTTAATACATTACGAGCTCCTGGAATTCCTTTTTTCAGGATCTCGAAATGGCTACAGAGCAACTCTCACAGTTTCTTGAGCGAGATCTGGAGAACGAAAATCTTGTCACCCTCAAGCAGAAGGTATCTTCTCAGTTTCTTGTGATCCTGAGTTTTAGAGCTTTTACAGTGCTCATTGGTCAAGAATTAAGTTTGTACACATTATAATGTTTCTCAGGTACAAGATAATTATCGCTATGTGGATCAGCGCCGTCTTGTGTTGTTGAAGCATTGTCAAGAGGGTACAGAAAGGGACATCTGGCAGTATACTCAGTGAATGCGCAGCACCCATCTTGATGGAGGTCTGTTGATCACCTCTCATGATCCTGAAGTTCTTTTATCTTTTGCATCTTTTGCTTCATTCTCTATGCTTCATGCACTTTTTCCTGTTTCGTATTCCCATTTCTAGTGTTGTTTCAGTTATTGTGCATCGTTCGGGTCAAACCTTTCTCCCAAAAGCGTTCTGTCTTAGGCATTACTGGGCAGAGCATCTTTTATGTTAGATGCTAATTGCTTTATGGCAGTTCTGCCCATTCATCCATGTTGTCTTGACGATATTTTTGATCTTTACGGTTTGCATATTCCGCGCCTCACACAGTTCTCGCTGCGGACACAGAAGCTATTTACATCGCTTTCTTAGTGATTGCTGGTCAATTGATTAATCACGTTCTTTCTTTGATTTTTATATCTAGGATCTTCTGCTTCTGTTACATATTAGTGAGCTGATTTGTAAATATTTTTTTAAGAATCACCTCTTCACTGATCCCCGAGGGTTAATTACTTTAATATTTCCATTGCAAGTTGCCTTATATCTCTTGAAGATTGAAATTTGTTATATGATTTAGAAAGAATTAAACTTATGTTTTTTTTTACAGCTAGGTTCTGATAAAACTTTTTCACGTAAACTTTTGATTGTCAGTCTTAACGCAGTGGCTCTGTGCCTTTCTTTTAGGTCATTTATATTCTTTTTATTCATCCAGAGTTTTTTAGAACTGTAGTTATTAAATGAGACGAAAAGAGGATGGAACAGCGTACTGATCCTGCAACGTGGTAGACAGGAGATGTCGCTTTTTCAATTTCTCGACGTTTTTTGGGCTTAAATTAGTTTTGAAAAGTTCATTTCAAAGGAAATTGAAATTCGAAGTTTAGCATCATCGTTTCATTTTACAAGGGGTGATGAAATAGACCTTTTTCATTGTGGGAATTTGCAAAATTTCGCGTTATCATCACGCAGGGTTAGTGGGACATAGGTGGCGAGTTTACGCGACTCAACGAAAAAAAGATACTTGACAAGATATCAATTATATTGTTTTATCACTGTGAACGTTTAGGTAGTTGGGGACACCTCGGAGTTGTTAGCAGTCATGTTCCCTGTGAAACTATGCTCCCCTTTGTAGGCAAAGTTGGCGGTTCAAGCAAAGGTGATTATTTAACTTTTCGCAAACCTTTATGTAACCACCACACATACGCCATCCAGCATAACTATGAGAATTGTATAGAGGTATAAGCAGAAGATCGCTGAGGATTAACTTATGGATTCCTTTGGCAGATAATTGGTATATAAGCAGGGTATTACAGCACGCAGATTACCCTCTGTGCTCGACGAAGCATTGAGATCCACGGAAATTTTTCTCTTTCCGTATGTGTAAACGGCTTCCTTTCTGTGCATCTATTGCATGGTGCTGCGTGGTTTCAGGAGAAATTGACGATGGTTAATTTGTTTGCTTCGAGTCGTCGTATTTGGCCTGAACTAGTTTTCGCGTAACGGATGCATAAAAACTCTTTCTTAATTCTTTTTTAGTTGCTGAGTTAATACATAACGTTCGTTCTTACTGCGTTGTTACTGCTGCGCCTCCGCACAACTCACTGATACGTGCTAAAGATGTCGCTCGCGGAGGAGCTTATGGCTGATTTTGAAGAAGACGATGCAGATGAACTGGAACAGGCCATGGAGGTGAACAACGTGTTCTGTCAGTTATGGAGGAAATATTGTTTTGAGGTTTTGCCAGCTGTTTAGTTTTCGTAGTTCCAGGCTATCAAAAATGAAGACGACATCGAAGAAGCAACCGAAGTCGTAGCTGGGAAAGCGACTATAGATTCTGATATACCGATTGTTTTGCGAATGACATTAACCGAGCGAGTTGGTTTTAGTATTTTCCTCGATAGACTATTTTTGTAGTCGATGGCCACATATGATTGTTTAGATGTGTTGCTAATTTATCTCTATAAGGCTGCTTTTAGGATATTTCGTGAACTCATGGCCAGCTCTTCATGCTGAACTGGAATGAGAGAACGAGACGAAGGTTCACGTCATGTTCCTCTTGAGTCTGATCCACAGTACAAGTTGATAGTGAAGCTTTCACATGTTAGTAAATTTCATTTGAACACTCGAACTATTCTCAATTGTTACATGGCCATAGTAGTGCCATCGGGTAAGGAACTTGTCAGAGGTGGTAGCCTGGCGCATACTTTGTGATAGCCATGGTGTGGGCCCGCGCTTGCAAGCTGGCCGGCTGGGATTGCCCTCGCTGGAGATATTGTAACGTATCCTTTCCCATTTTCCTGGCTTTAAACATATTTTCTCTACCAATTTGATTGATGTAGATATTAAGGTGCGGTAGATTTAGTTTTTCTTTTGCAGTTCTGAGGTGGTTGTTTCCGATCTTGTATGGCCAACTTGAGATCAAGTGATTCAACAGTTTGTGAGGGCGTGACAATACGAAAAAACGCCGCGTTTCCGAGTTGGCGAATAATTAGTGCATCCTTGGAATAATTGGCTGCAGTGAAGCTTTACTTTTGGAATAGAATATTAATACAAGGACAAAAATTGAGGCGTAAACTGGCCATGGGGCGAGTTTAATACGCCGTTGCGCACTTAATCAACGCTTCCAAGGCCCCATCCCATATATTCATGATATTTATACAAGGGATGACAGTCGATATCACGAAGTTTGGCCGGTGGTCTTGGTGTAACCGGAAAGGACGACCGTGTATTGCTAGCGTCGCCCCGTGCCAGAGCTGTCCGCGCTGCCTATTGCTGCTAGGCAGCGACGCGTATGTTGGAAGCAGCCTTATCGCCATAGTTTTTCATCTATCAGTTTAACGTACACTTCCAGGTGACACGCCCATCCCATAGCACTCACTGAATATCGATGTGTACGATACTCAATTTTGTGAAACGCCAGGACTTCATAGGTGCCAAACCTCCTCTTTTTACTGCCGCTTTTTTTAGGAACTATTAGGACAAATTCTAGCTCCAGCAACATGCATTGTGGTCTCTGTAACGGCGTCGACCACGCAAGGAAAGTCTTTGGAACCAGATGAGCTCAACGTTGTGAGAGAAGCATGTGATTTGGCGGAGAAATTGCATACGGTATTGCATTTTATTGTGGTATTTTGTCTTCAACCAACAACTATGTTTTTTAACAGGACAGAATTTCAATGTATCGTCTGGTTGAACTTCGCATGGCCTTGATCGCTCCTAATCTCGTCCATTTACTCGGAGCTGCTACTACCGCGCTTTTGGTGGGTCTTTGAACGGTTTTCATGTTGGTTTGCATTAATCAGAATCATGCAAATCTCAGTCTGAATGAGTTTGCTCAGCTTTCTCAACCCTTCAAATGAATCCTCTGATCGTCTCAAGCATTCTAATCGAAGAAACACTACATGAAATCGCTTTTTTTTCTTGATGTATGCTGCATTTGCTACAATTTTTTTCTTCTAATGTTGACCTAACTATGCGATGTCTTGAAGATTGTATTGTTGGAGATTATTTGTTTTTAGGTGTCACAAGCAGGAGGATTGGCACCGTTATCACGGATGCCAGCTTGCAATATCCAAGTTTTGGGTAGGCAAAGAAGGTCGCTGGCTGGGTTTTCATCGACCTCTGCTTTGCCCCACGCTGGATTTGTATATTTCCATCCCCTTGTCCAATCAATGCCTCCTGATTTGAAAGCGTAAGGATATAAGCTTTTCTTCGATTCCTTCCTGATTTGATTTAAACTTTTATTTTTAAGAAAAGCCGCCAAGATTCTAGCCGCTAAGTGCACTTTGGCGGCGCGGGTTGATTCGCTTCATGAGTCTCCAAATGGTGCAATTGGAATCAATCTTCTCGAGCAGGTTGGTGAGCTATAATCCGGAGTAACCATAATAACTAGTAACTAGCTATTATGGTACAGAGGAATTCTCTGGAGTTCTATCTTTAGCAATCATTTGCCAGAGCTTCAATTGCAGGTACGTAATAAAATGGAGAAATTAATGGAACCTCCACCAGTAAAAGCTAATAAAGCCTTGCCCAAACCGCTGGATAAAGCTAGTAAGAAACGAGGAGGTACGTTTTATTCATTAAACTTGCGATCTGATTTATATTCATCTATGTAATAATATATCATGTTTGAATGCTTACGTTTAGGACGCCGTGTTCGTAAGATGAAGGAAAGAATGGGCATGACTGATCTGCGGAAGAGCGCTAATCGTATGAACTTTGGAGAGTTAGCAGAAGACGTTTTACAGGATCATTTGGGCTTCGATTTGGGACAGGTTCGCTTGCCTACTGCTGCTCGGTTTTATTCAAAACATCTAGCCACTAAGAGTTTGATCGACCGCTCAGTTCTCAGTTGAACTGAATTAGGTCGAAAACTAGTTTACCTTATTTTCTTGTTTCCAATAATGCATATAAGGAAAGTGTGGCGAATCAAGATGAGCACGCCAAGCTTCTAGCAGGTATCTACTCGAAGCATCTTATCTTCGCGACAGTATATCTTCGAAATTCAGCTCTCATTTATCGTTTGGAAAGCGTTTCTGCCATATAAACTACCCAACAGTGATTCGTCACACGTGACGAGCGCTGCAGTTAGTGTCCGTGGCAATTGCAAGTGTTGAAAAAAGAGCCGGGCTATCATGAAACGGAAGCAAAGTCCATTTTTAGCCGAGGCCCTACGCCTACTTTTTCGTTGTTATGGTCCGGGAGGCTCTATACGATTTACGGCAACAAAGTTGGAGTAACTACAATAACATTGCAATTCTTAACGATCCCGGTAGCCTGAAATTTTGGCTTGTTTACGAGCACCATGATTTATCGAAGGACATCTCCATATACCCTGCGAAAGCTATGCCCGGGCTGAATCCGTTAGTACACGGAAGAGCTTCGAAGAGAGGGATTACGATAAGGTTGGATTCAGTTAGCAGGGAAAGTGGGGATGCTTAATAATGCCCAAATGCCCAAAAAAACACAAAATAGGACCCCTTTGTTTGCTCCGTTGACATCTGACAATTGACGAGCCAGAAGCCAAGGAATTGGCTATTTGCACATGTCCATCAATCCTGTTGCCTCTGTCATGCCAAAAACTCCGTGCTTCTATTGATAGCGCATTCCACAGAAAGTTAGGGGATACGACTTCTCGAAATGGAATAACTTTTCCAAATGGGAAACCTGTGAATAACTTTTCAAATGGAAAACGGGTGAAGCTGCTACTGGCAAAGTACTGGTAGGCGGAGGCCCAGCCCAGAAAAGGTTTCGAACCCTCATGAGTTGCATCTAGCGCAACTTGCGCCGCTAAAAGGCTTTTCTTGGTCCTTGGCTACTGTCTACACTGATGCAAGTACTCCCATACTGCGCCTACACTTTATCTAAATCCCCAGCTTCAAATGTTCTTCTATACACACATAGGCCCATAATGATTCCATCCTACCGAAAAACAATCAATCTGAGTGGTTTCTCAGCCCGATAATAGAAGAATACGACCCTTGTTTTTTCTTCTCGTCCGTATGCGCTAGCAAGTTTTATTTTCACAGTGGTTAAAGGCAAGACCCAGGGTTAAGTTGATGTGGTAATCCACTGCAATATGTAGGCAGGGGTGCGATGACCGCGTGTGGAGGAAAAAGGAAAAGAACCCTCAAGAACACCGAAAATGCAAACCTTCTTGCCCTGCGGAGAAGTCCAAGAGGCAGAGAGCGAGACAAGAGATAATGTGAATAGATGAGATTTAAAAAATAACCCTGAGTCGGGACAACATAGCAAACCAACTTTGCGACGCAGACAAGATATCCGGCGCTGGGCGGGCGCTGGTTCCAAGGAGGAGGATTATCCAAGTCCTAAGTGCCTTAATGACGCCTTTAGAGGCTCAGAAGTGACCATTTTCCTGATTATCGCCTTTCCGCAGATAACTGAGAGCCGCCGTTCGGGCTGTCAAGACGGAAGGTTGGTTTTGCTACTGTCAAACGTAGTTGCTTTTGATCACCACCGATTACCGTCGTTTTTCTGCGGGGCATTCACTGGTTGAGAATATACCTAGTTGTTCAACAATATTATGTACCTTCGGAAGTAAGGGCTTGGATGAAATTTCTTGAAAAATAATTTTCATCCTCGTTGGCGAATACATCGATCCAATAAAAGTTCTAAAGAGGTGAAAGAGTACG